TTGAGTCTTCTGGCCACTATCTGAGCCCACCTTCAGACAATACCTGCCGACAGTTTGACTGCCGTTTTTCGACGACCTCCACCGTGTGTTCCACAGCAGGAAAGGTGACTTGCGCTAGACTATAGTGAAGGCAGACTTGCGCAGCATCTACCTCATCCTCTGTTCCACCCACTCTCCTGGGTCCGGATACGTGAGAAGGCGCAGGTTGTTGGCGCGCTCGGAGCCGCCCCATAGTGCGCTGCTACACGATAGTATCTGTGCTGTCAGTATGGTAAGCAATTACGTAGTTGAAACAGTCTCTACTACTGTTCCTGCTAGTGTCTCTGATGAAGGATCCGCGGCAGATTTCGAAACGTCAGGCGAAGAAGAGTCTTGTCCCAGCGATCACACCATCTCCTTCTCAATGACGTGATTGTAAACTAGACCAAACCACCGCACTCCCTCCTAACGTATTCACCTCTTACCATAGTCGGCAATCAGCTGCGCATAAGAGGATTCATGTCTCATATTTAACGCATGTTGACCAAGTTTTCAGCAATTCCACCCAGCAGGAGTGCTAGTAAGGTAATAAAAAACAACCCACTCAGGTTCGTTGGAGGCTAGTAAATTACATAATTAAATTAGTCCTTCCTCTTGACCGCAAGTAATGCATTTAACAGCACAATGTACTGGGACTTTTCTGGAGCCTGCTAAAAAATATTAGCACAAAAAATCCAATAGGATGTAATAGTCTCGGTTTCCTACTTTGCTGTAAAGCATAGATTCAGCAAACGCTGTTGTCATTCTATCGTATGTTTCAAATGGGGCCTTTTTGGCAGTCGCACGTACGTGACTTTGCAGCGATCCCCACAGAGGCTTGCTGTATGAAATCAAAGCCAGGTCGTGTGTATCATACGTAGGCGAGCAGTTTGAATTCGTCAGACACTGTGTCTGCACCCACCTTCAGCTGCTTTTGCATGATCCTGCCATCGCAGTAAGGTGGATGAGGGAGAGTGGTGAATGA